ATGTTATTATTTCTCAAAGTGTTCTGCATAGCTTGGCTTTCCTCTTGTATCACTTCCTGGACCACTCCTCAAAGCCTTGCTATTGTACAGGGTCTCTCAATGTGCCAAGTGTACAACTGGTGGTGCACAGATGATTTCTGGTGACCCTCAGATAAGTATCCTTAGAAGTTACATATTTATTTATGCACATTAGGAAGATTATAACTAACAGGTGACACCTGGCATTTCATAGGTATTATTTCTTAGAAAAAGGCTAAGTGAAAAAAAATAGTGTGTCAATTTAAATAATATTAAGAAAATAAAATACAGTTCATATTTAGACATGGTAAAAATCATGAAGTATACTAATAAAATCCAGGTTCTGGAAATCCTCCCTTCTCACATGTAGAAGGATGCTTCTTTGGTCAGAAGTGTGTGTATACAGGGGCCTTTTTTTTTTTTTTCCCTTTGTCAGCACCTGGAAGGACCTCAGTCTATGGGACCACTGAAGATTTAACTCCCTGTTTCTCATTTGAGAATACATTTAGGTTTGGGGGGCTTCTGCCATTGAAGGCTAATATTCAAAGAAGAAACACCCTAATGTTGGTGAGAATAGCTCTGAAAATCCACAGAAGATGTTTCAGATATTTTAATTAATTAATTTATGTTTCTCATTTCTCTGAAAAAAGAATTCTTTATGAACACCAGTTTCTTTCTATAGAAAGCCAATCCCTTCCTATCATTTCTGCTGGGTGATAGCTATGGGTTCAGTCACCTGAAACACAGGTAACATCCTATTAAGAAGAAAGAACAACTGCAGACCTAAGATTTCAGTATTTTCATACAGGGGAGCAGGCGGGGTAGAGGGAGAAAGGGAGAGAGAGGAAAAGGTTAGAGCAGCCTGTTTTGTTTTGTTTTAGCATAACTATTTAAAGGAGATACCTTCTCTTTTTTTCCCCAAATTTTAAGTAATCAAACTGAAACCAATATTTATTGCTAAGATGCTATTTAGTATCCTCAGGCTATACTGATAGCCTAGCATAAGAAGCATTATGGTGTGGATGTGAGGTGTCTGCCAAAAGCTCATGTGTGAGACAACTGAAAAAGGCTTAGAGGTTACATGATTGGGTTATGAGAGCCTTAACCCAATCAGTGAATTGATCCCCTGATGGGATTAACTGAGTGCTAACTGAAGGCAGGTAGGGTGTAGCTAGAAGAGGTGGGTTATTGGGGGCATGCTTTTGATCTTTTGTATCTGAGGAGTGGAGTCTTTCTCTCTCTCTGCTTCCTGGTGCCAAGTTCCCAGTTGCTTTTCTCCACCACACTTTTCTGCCATGATATTATGCCTCACCTTGAGCCCTGAGGAATGGAGCCAGCCTTGTATGGACTGATACCTCTGAAATTGTGAGAACCCCCAAACCCTTTTACTCCTCTAAAATTGTTTTGTCAGGTCTTTTGGCCACACCAGAAAAAAAAATCAAACAAACAAACAAAAAACCTGACTAAAACAAGAAGTAATGCCTTAAAAGTATGAGTGATCTTTTAAAATATCAATAAAGAAGCATGCAGGTATGAGTTTATATCACAAATATTTTAAGTATGTATAAAATACTCAGCATATATAGTAAAACAAATTATTTTGTGTACCTATTTAGAAAAATAGTCTATGTTGGAATTTGATGTTCTATAAAATGACCTTAAGGCAAGTTTTCATTTTGAAATAATTAAAGACCCATAGGAAGTAACAAAGATAGTATAGAGAGGTCTCATGTACCTTTGACCAAGTATCCCCCAGTGGTTGTCTCTTACATAACTATGGTATAATATCAAAACCAGGAAATTGGCCTTGGTGCAATGTGTTTATAGCTCTGACATCTCATCACATGTAGATTTGTAGAACTACCACCACAATGAAGATACACAGTCATGTCCTTACACAAAGATCTCTGCCATGCCACTTTCATTTTCTTCTCACCGCTTCTGTAAGCTTGGCCAACCACTAGTTTGAACAAGCTAGTTAAACTTCTAGCTTGAGTAGCTCTTCTGCTATGGTTTGGATCTGAAATGTGCCTCAAATCTCATGTGTTGAAGGCTTTTTCTCCAAGGCAGCAGTTTTCAGAGATAAATCTTTGGAAGGTGATTGGGTTGTGAGGGCTCTAACCCCATCAATGGATTAAATCATATTTTCATAGACCAGTAGGAAGTAGTGGAAACTTAGGACTTGGAGCTTAGTTGGAAAGAATGGGTTCTTGGGGAGCAGACCCTTGCAGGCTATCTCTTGTCCCTAGCGTCTCCTTCTCAAGCTTTCTGTTTCTTGGAAACCGTGAGGTGAGAAGCTTTGCTCTACCATGCACTTTCTGTTGCATCTGGGCCTTACTACCACAAGTCCAGAAACAAAGGAGCCAATTGACTATCAACTAAAACCTTTGAAACTCTGAGCCAGAATAAACATTTCCTCCTTTAAGTTGTTTTTCTCAGGTATTTTGTCATAGCAACAGAGCTGACTAACACATCATCCATGAAAATGAAGTTTTGATCAATTTTTTAGGGGGCCATTATTTAAAACCAATCTTTTTTTTTTTTTTTTTAGTTTCTATGACAGCAGAGATACTACAATTAGATGAACTCAGATCTAATCTGAGTATTACCTTAAAAACTGTTAAGTGCAAATCTAGTTAATGAAGTCTAATGTAAAAATGTGGAGAGCATAATGGATTGAACAGTGTGTTGTACATGTATTTGTCATTAAAGTAGTGTCATGGTCAAATAAATTAAATAACCAAAAGTCACATTATAATAATATACTACTGCTACTAATTCCCATGCATGTAAGAAGAAAAAAAAATGATTTTACTTGTTCTCTTCTCTCACCAAATGTACATATGGCAAAAATTTGGCACAGAAGACATCTAACTTCTTTGTCCCCAAGGCTACTCCTTGAAGAAGAAGAAGCAAACATTCCAAAAATGTGCCTGGCTAAGTATCTGAGTTGGCTGTGCTGCAGCAAAGACTATAGGTTTGAAGATTCTGAACTGTGGGGTTTAAATTCAGCACTTTTCTGAGATTCTGAAGCTGCCCACTGGCCAGGGCCAGGACTAGAGAATCATGAGGAACTAGGCAGTAGACTCCTTTGCTTTCTCTTACAAAACTACTTGCTCACGCACTGAAGAAGATAACACCAAAAAGCAGTTTTTCCCAAGAGACGTCTTCCATTTAAAGTTTTTAAGAATCCCAGCCCACGCACCATTTTAAGCTCTTCCGCTCTACAATTCTCTACTCTTTTAAATTCAAACCTGTTGATAGTACCCTGCATGAGGATGTCTTACTTTGTCAACTGAGTCCTTCAACAACATATTGATTAAAAAAATGGTTCTCCTTTCTCACTTCCAATAATCTTTATGGAAAATCCCCTAGGAAGCAGAAACTTGAAAAGGATCCTCTGGGGATTCTGGACAGTCTACAACTTTGGAAAGAACTACTGAGCCCTTTGGAAACCACCTATTCCTTACTTTTCAGAAGGCACCATTTTCAAACCCCGCTCCTGAGGAAAATAATGTAGGGAGATAAAAAATCTACCCCAAACGCCAAGTTTGCTTGTCACAAAGCTCGATCATTGTAATAACCAAACAGGGACATTGTCCCCTCATCATCTTCTGTTGGGAGTCCCTTGATGTCCCATTTCCATGACCTACTTCTGTGTTTCCCTGAGCATTCTGGATACATCCCTCAATTGAGGGGGTGGCTCCGGGGTCAGAGCTTCCCACCTCAACCCCCATTGGACCCAAGGCATCAGTTGCCCTCCTGTGCCCACACAGACGCCCTGGTCTTACCCTTTCTCTCGCAGAAGGGATCCATCGCGCCGTCCAGAGGGCACCTCCGTGAGCCCGAGTGGTGGGGGTCCGGCTGGGCCGCGAGCGGGCAGGACCCCGCGTCGCTGCGGGTTTGCGCTCAGGACCTGGGAGCGGGGCCCGGCCTGCTCCTCCCGCGCCAGCCGGGTGCGGACACGTGGTGCCACGGCAGCGGGTACGCACCAGTCCCCGCGGCCCCTCGGCTTCTGCAGCCAGCCCGGCGGCCGGGGCTGAGGGCCAAGTGGGTAGACGGGCGGGAGACCAAAGGGCCGGCACCGGTAGGTGGGGCGCAGCGACACGGGCGCGAGGAGGGCCGAGCGCCACCGGAGCCGCCAGGGTCCTGCTTGCGGGTTCTCGAGCTGAAGGCCTGGTGGCTGTCACCAGGTCCCCAGCAGATTTCCCTGCAGGCTGTTTCCTGAAGCCGTTCGGGGAGGGGGTGGCGCGCTGCCGAAGCGCTGGGTTCCCAGCAGCGGAGGGGGCCCCAGCAGAGGCAGAGGGTCTGCGTTGCACCCGCACGCAGCTGCCGGCCTGGGGAGGTCTCGCTCGCGGTCGCCACCTTACCGAAGGAGTGCCTTGTCTCCTTGTGGAGATGAAAAAGCACTGAAAACCGCAGCGTGAACCCAAAGTGCTCTTTAGGGCAGTCTCTGCTTGGGAAAATTCCTCTCGAGATCACAGCTGGTCTGGAGGCAGCTAAGGAGACACGACCCAAAACTGGGGCCCTAGATTTGTGTGCTGCTACTGGCTCTATTCCAATTTCACCAACGACCTTGGGCACCGCGTTTGCACAAGGTGTCTTGTCTGAGTTAACCTGATTTCTGACTTGGCTTTAAATAGGGCCATTTATTTTCTGGAAATAATAGCAATTGTGTTAAAAATCAAAACCTAAAACAAAAAGCCTCCAAGGACTTATTTAATAAAAAGTGCAATATAGAGATATAATTTATATCGTCTTTAGGCAAGGTTAAAAAGACTTCCTCAGACTGGAGAAAAATAACTGGGTTCTGATTTGTTAGTCCCAATGCAAAAACTAAGCTTCAAATACACTACCTCCCTTCCCGGGTAGGTAGGCTATTGAAGACCCAAAGGAAGATTTTGGCTTCCCTTAGAATTGCTAGAGTTCCATGTAGCCCCATCAAGAATGCCCAACTCTACTAAAGGTCTTTGTGATGAAACTGGTTGCATCTTCCTACCATAGTTAAGAGTCAAGAGCAGCCACCACAGCTGGTAAAGGCTCTGCCAGGTGAGTTTCTTGTTACTTGCTTATTTTTGGATTAATCTTTATTTTTGCCTCTAGAAGGAGTTTTCTGTATAGAGGGCTGCTTCTCCATAGTAGCACCCCTGTCCTTTTATCATTGCTTCCCCTCCCCCTCTTCCTCTTCATGTCACATTCACTAGAGTTGGGCATACACAATCAGCTTAAAATACAATGTAATTCTAGTCATATGTGAGAGAATTTTACAGTGCAAGTCTGTTAAATAAATAAACTGGAACCCAGTCTCATGTGTCTACTCAAGTGGGCACATGTTAAGTGCATCAAATAATTTATCTTGTTGCTTTAACTCCATTTCATCTGGTCATCCCTTATCCTACTTCTTTCTGATCATAAGGCTCAAACACTTAAGATTTCTTCTCTCTGGTAGGAAATCCCTTACCTCATTGAAAATACAGATTCATAACATAATGGAAACCTCATAACAAAAAATCTTGTTTTGTGTGCTAAATCTTGACTTTACTATCTTATGTGCCTCACCTTACCCCTGCCACTTCTACTCAAGGTCCAGCCATTGAATTTCCCTGTTTCTTGGCCTTTGAAGGATACAAGTCCCCACTATGGTTTTTGGTCAAACTGCTGTTTGCCCAGGATTTCCTTCACCAGCTTGGCTTAGGTTATTTTAGGATTGTCTCCTGGGAATATGGTTCCCGCTCTTCTTTCTATATTTCAGACTTCCAGGACTCTGTATCAGATATTGTTTCCATTGGATCCTTACTGGCTCCTTAAAGATAATTCTGCAAGTAAAAACAAAAAATGTGTGGAAATAAACGTGCACTAGACATGTGAAACTATTAGGTTAAAAATACCAGTCTCTGCCTTTGAAATAGTACAGTTTTCTTTATAACAGGTATTTCCACCTGTTTGGAAGGAAATATTATTAAATTTTTATTCTGAAACCTTAGGAGCACTGAGAGTGTCCTTGAAGATTTGGGGACAAAGTGGGAGGGGGGGAGTGAGTGTTGTAACTGGGGAAGAGGGAAGGTGGACAGGTGCTGATGTTGAGTTCCTGCTTCGGAAGGGTCAATCAGACTAGAAGATGGGAAGAAGAAAGGGGAAACTCCTGTTTGGAATGGTTTTCATCAGAGTGGGCACAGCGCTGATTGTGCAGTGGACCAGAGGAGAGTCTTACCAACAGGAGCTTTGTTTCTCCCTCCTTGTCAACATACTTTCTCTACAATGCATCATCTCTAAGAGGACCTTCAGAAATTAAGAATACAATAAATATCAGTGGGCAAATACCTAAGCACAATCCACTGGACTTAGACTTTTCTGGACATATTTCAAGAATACAGTGTGATTGTTTGATTAAATACAATTCATTAAATACAATAGTGTTTGATAAATGTATTAAGAAAGGTTATCTAGGGCTGTGGTTGTGGCTCAGCGGTACAGTACTCGCCTGACACCTGCCAGGCCCTGGGTTCAATCCTTAGCACCACATAAAATCAATAAATACAATAAAAGTATTGTGTCCAACTACAAGTAAAAAATAAATATTAAAAAGAGAAGTCTTTACACAGGAGGTGATTTATATTGGAGAATGAGTAAGAGCTACAAAAGTGGAGGATGGAGGTGATTCCAGGTGGGGAGATGCTGAATGGGGGGGAGAGAGAAGAGAAGAGAAGAGAAGAGAAGAGAGAGAGAGAGAGAGAGAGAGAGAGAGAGAGAGAGAGAGAGAGAGAGAATATAGTGTGATTGTAGAATTCATTTTAGAAAGAAGGTGTAAATCACGGGGCTTATATAACCTTTGAGATGAAGGACATTAAAAGGTTACCTAATACGGTCTTTTAGATATTGCACCAACCATAATCCCACAGTTCTTAGGTTCTTTTTTTCTCCTTTTAAGTTTCCAGCCCCTTCCCAAAATGCTGTTTCTAAGCCAGGACTCATTTTTTTGTTGGCCACCACCACCATCACATACAAACACACAAAATCCCTACTACTTGATTCTTTCTGGATTCTAGATTTGAATTAGACTGGAGAAAAAATCATCCTGAGTTCACTAGACCTGAGAAGAATGTTAAATAAACACCTCACAAGTTGGAGAGTTCAAATGGAGCCAGAGCTTCCTATTAGAAACGCCAACTTAGAAGAAAACAAACTCAGTTCAAATGATTGCAAATAAATTCTAGCCTTTCTTTCCTGGGACTGAAGTGTAATTTTCTTGTTCTAACAATTTTAGACATTTAGTTCTTCATTGTTTTATCAAAATATGTAGAGCTAGAGCTGTATCTGCCTATAAGTTACTCATTCAACATCATTTATTCAGTACCATTTTCCAAACCTATTTTGTCTTTCCCTTCCCTCTCTTTCCTGATGACCTGTTTGCTAAAGTGTGATTAGATTGATATGTTACTTCTTCAAGATAACAGGATGGGAAGAAGCTCCCATTGCTGAATGTGTACTATATACTAGGCACTACTTCACATTGTCTAATTTTTAAATTATTACATTGTCTTAAGTAGTTATTCCTATGTACTTTACTGGTGAAGAAAAGGAGCATATGACTTGTTTACAGTCACAAAGTCAGTAAATTGTGCAATGGAAATTTGAAGCTAAATACTTATAATTATTTTGTACTACTAGTCACTGTGGAAGCTTTCTGGAAGCAATGCATTTATTTACTCAAAGATCTACTCAAATGGAAGAATAGTGAATGCTATTGCAGGATGGAAAGAGTAGAATTTGTCATGTGGGTCTTTTGTGCATTCAATGCAAACATTCAGTGGCTCTCTTTTTTTCTTACAGAAAGAGCTGGACTAATCAAAATCATTGTGAAAACTGGGAAACTGTGTTAGAATGGTTAAACCACACATATGATGATTTTATTAACTGCAAAAGCATTTTGTAGAACAGTCATTCATCAGGGGTCTACATCATAGCTATAAAAAATTAAAATACTAGCTAGCCATCAACTTTTGTTAATAATAGACTTTTTTTAAAAAAAGTGAAATGAGGTTCATGGTGAATTTAAACATGTCATATATACCTACTCTGGGCTTATACAGTTCCATCTATAAAACAGAAATAATAAATATAATTCTCCAGGAGTTTGAAGTATCAGAGGAAACAATCGAAAACAAAATACTTTATGAATTGCAAATATGTGTGTGTGTTTTATTTGTATATATGTACACACACATATGTATGTATTATGGATTATGACAGTAAAAAAGCTAAATAGTGAATTGAGTGGGAAAGAGATATTTTATAATTTAAGTTAGCACACACAGAGTCATGAAATTTTAACATAGATAAGAAATTTCTAAATCATTCAATTTCCCCCATTTTGTAAAGAAAAAAAAAACAAACAAATGCCTAGGGATAGGAATTTCTGCAGTCACATCACATTCTTAAAAATACTGTTGAAAATTCTAAAATAATAAAGTGGTGTCATGGGAATGGTAGTCAGTCAATATTTATTGAGTGGCCATTATATGCCACTTAGCAGTTTTAGATGCTAAGAATATAGTGATGAACTGATATCCTAATGAAGACAGTGAGATAAAAGAAGTGTGAATAAACAAGGTCCTTTCAGCCACTAAGTGTTTTAAAGCTATTAAAATAGGAAATGTGGTAATGAGCTGCCAAGCTTAGCTTTTCAGGTATTACTCTGAAAGCAACACTCAAATTGAGGCCTCAATGAGTATCTGGAGGTGATTTCAATGGAAAGATGTGAAAATACTTTAGACATGTTTAGATACAGAGCTGACAGGATTTACTGGTGTTTTAAACGAACACTATTGGGAGAATCAAGGGTGATGCCTTTTTTTTTTTTGTCTCAACATCTGAGTGAATGGGGTACATGTTTTTTAGTTGGGTGGGATTGTGGTAGGTGGTGATAATTGGAATGGGGCTTGGAGAAAGGATTGGTTCTGTTTGGGTCACATGAAATTTCAAATAATAGTTGAGCATGCAAATGGAGTTGTTGAGTGGAAATCTGGAACTCAGTGGAAGTAGATGTCCAAACTAGAGATAAACATTTGAGAATTACATTTGAATTTGTAATTCTCTTATTGGTCATTGATACCTTTACCTGCTTATTTTAACAGCTGTATGTTATTACATCATATGACCATACCACGGTGTATTCTTTCAGAATGTAGATACTCATAGATAGGGCCACAATTTCATGCAAAGGAATAGATTAAATGCAGATTAATATCTAACAATTTTAAATCAATATTCTAGGGCTATCAAGGTAATTGTTAAGGGAAAAAATCAGCACAGTAGCAAGTTTCTAAGAGATGGATATAAAAAGATTAGAGGAGCCCCCCAGTTTGTTGATGGTGCATGTATCAGTGTAGGGTTGTGGTCAGGGTACTATATTGCATGTCAGCTATAGTTATAAATGTTGTTTGAAGGTATTGGTAGTATTAAAATACCAGTGTGTTTTTCACAGCATGCTTATAAATACATACTGTTAGAATTTGGATATGAGGTGTCCCCGCAAAAGTTCATAACTTAATGCAAGGATATTTAGAAGTGAAATGATTACACTAGGATAGCTGTAACTTAATCAGTCTGTCCTAGTTTTAATGGGCTAACTGGTGGTAGCATAGGCAGGTGGAGATGCATGGAGGAGGCGGGTCATGGGCAATACCAGGGAAAAGATTATCTTCCCCTCAGCTTCTTCACCTCTCTCTCTCTCTCTGCTTCTTGGCTGTCACAAGCTGAGCAGATTTCTTCTGCCATGCTCTTTTGCTCCTCACCTCAGACCCAGAGCAATGGAGTTGGCTGACCTTGTACTGTACCTCTGTAACTGTGAGCCAATAAACTTTTCCTTTTTCAAGTTGTTATTGTCAGGTATTTAGTTGTTATTGTCATTACAGTGGTGAGACAAGTAGTTGTGATAGAGCTTATATGGCTTACAGATCCTAAAATCTATTTCAACACATGTACATATATGTAAACATACATAGATGATATAGAAATAAATAGATAAATGGCAGCCCTGGAAAGGGGAA